CTTGGCCCTGTAGCCAGCCCGCCGGGCCCAGAACCTGAGCCTCAGTGGAGGCCTTCAGGAGGAGAGTGCCGTTCTGGGCCCTTCTGAAGCTGGCATGGTCCATCTGAACAGAGACAATGAAGATGAGCAGAGAACTGCAGCAACACTGGAGAACCATGAAAAACAGAAAATACCTTCATTAGATGATCAGTGAGTAGAAGTGACTTTGCTATCAGAGCAGGTTTGGTTGGTTTCTCACTATAAAGAACGTAAAACAGCTGAAGCCTTCTTTAAAAAAGCCTAAAGCCTCATGTGTGTCCAGCCAGCATGTCCCTACAGCCTCGTGTAAAGCTGTTTATTAGCACTGAGCACAGTGAGCACAACGTTAAATCAACAACAGGCTGAACGCTGCACATCTTGTGTCTCAGACGAGGCAGCTCACGTATTGTCGCCATTATTTTACGATGCCCAGTGAAAACATAACCATAGTTACTTCACTACTACTGAACTCAATCACAAACTGAACTGTTTAAACGCGTTTGCACAACAATTTCATTAAAATGAGCGAAAGAAACCACTGCGGTACTTACGCCGTCTTCGGTGAAGTTGAACTCCAGCGCGAAGCCTCACGGAGGGTCATGTGACCAAATTGGAACAAGTCCGGCTCTGCCATTGGTTTGCCAAAAGGTGGATTCTCGAAATAGGAACAAATGAGGCCATCCGATTGGCCGAACGTTCTTGGAAATCGGAACAAGCCGGAAGAGATGCGGCTCCGTGAGAGCGCCATGAGAGGAGAGGCGGGACATCAGGGTGGGTCCTGATTGGTCAAGAAATTGGAACAATTGGAACAGAGAAAATTGAGTTTACTCATTCTGTCCGGACAGAACCAGTGAACACATCCCGTAAAATAATTCAGTCCGTAAAACGTATTAGATCCTCAAAGGCACAAATTCTGCAGTAATGTCTTCCCAGCTTGAGATCAGCTTCGGCTGTTTTATTCATTTCTTCTGGCAAAATCAGCCAGAATCTATTTCAGATCGCGCTGAAAGCGCTACAGGCAGCTAGACGGACGGCTCAGCTTTTGATTGACACCTAGTTTGGCCAATAGGAGGGCTTTGGGGGTGAGTGAAAGCCTGAGGAACCAATGGAGTGTCTCAGACAGTCAACCCGGTCCGCACAAGTCCCACCCTTGTAGATTCGACCAGTCAGGTTGCAGACACTCTCTGAAGCGGTAAACTTGTAGCCAATGAGCAGACGAACACGTGGATGTGTGGGAAGGCAGGATTGTGTGTGTGTGGCGGTATCGGATCGGCCAGGTACCACTGTGAAGGAAATCATCCGGTACCGTAATTTCGTCCAGTAATCTGTAAAATAACAGTGAAAATATTTACAAATTTTCAGTCCTCAATATACATTATTTCTCTTTCAGACACCAGCAAATATATGTAAAATGATGATTTCCAAAAAATTGACATTGTTAAAAAATAAAAAAAAACAAGAAAAAACTTTTTGTTAATTAAGTTGAAATTAAAATTACTTTAAATTCATTAAAATTACATTGAAATTTATTAAAATTTTTGGACATTATTTACAATTTTGAGCTGTTTTTGTAAAATTTTTTGAATGGTTAACATTTTTCTGTAATTTACTAAAACAGGAAAAATCTGTAAAATAACAGTTTTATTTATTTATTGAGGAAATGTTTAATGCTCAATATGCTTCATTTTTCTCTCGTTTCTAGAAGTATCTCTAAAATAACCTGTTTTTTTTCTCATTTATTGCAAATCAAAACGTGTAATTTTACCATCAAATGTTGCAAAAGCACAAATAACTTTTGTAAAAATGCAGAATTCTGACGTTATTTACAGGTTTGGGCGTTTTTTTTTTGTAACAGTTAACATTTTTCTGTAATTAAACAAGACATGGAAAAACTGTAAAATAACAGTTAATTTTTAATTTAATTTAATTTAATTTAATTTAACTTAACTTAACTTAATTTAATTTATTTATTTTAATTTTTAATTTT